TTTCCCTGGGCATATAGGGAATCCTTGCCTTTCTTGTACTCTTTCACTGTGTGGGGTTGATGCTTGCCACACTTCTTACAGAAAGTTCGCCAAGTTTTAGGAATGTGCACCATGCTTACAGGTGCACGAAGAAACAAAGAGGCTGGGCCGGAAACTGAGTCTATAAATTTTAGTAAGACTTTTTATCCTTTCTTAGCATTGTTTAATATGCTGTTAATCCTATCTTGTAAGATTTCATTTCATGTTTTTCTTTTAGTTCTAGAAATTCATTTTTATTCTTTTTTGTTCAAAAAGTTATCTATTTCTATTTTTTTAAAACCTTTTTCTAATCTTTTATTTAGGTGGTAAAGAGTCCCACTACATAGCTTGGACTCATAGCAATCCTCCTGCCTCAGTTTTCCCAGCACTGGGATCACATACCACCACGCCCAGTTTCAGTGCCCAACACCACATTCCTGGCACTGGGTCCTTGTGCTTGACAGGCAGGCACTTAGACTGCTGGGCCATCTCCCCAGCCCCATCTTTTTGTTCTTTTTTGGAGTTTCTTTGTCCTTTTTGAGAGCCCTGATCTTTTTCCTTAATGTATACATACTTTTCTCTGAATCTTTAAATATATTTATTTCATTGCTTTTAAAGTTTTTGCTTTTAGCGTCTTTTGTTTTATTTAGGATTTAATTTCTCTTTAACTTTTAAAATGCTGATATAATAAAGTATACCTTTTTGGAAGCAATTTTTCTTTATTTTTTATTTTTATGTATTTGATGCAGAGCCTTACTACACAGCTTGGACTTGTAGTGATCCTCCTGCTTTCAGCCTCCCCAGTGCTGGGATTATAAGCCTGCTCCACCATGCCCAGACTGGGTAGCAGGCTCAGTGCATCCGGGGCGGGGCTGTGTAGCTGATGGTGCCAAGGACCAAACCACAGTCACTGCATTTGCCTAAGCAAGCACCTTGCCGGCCCTTGGAAACAACTTTTCTATAGCTATGACCATAGTCCAGATGCTGAGCATGTGTGTCAGTCATCTCCCCTCCCCACTCACTGCTGATAGCCACAGACCTGTCCTGTCACTGAGCTTTTTATTTTCAGGTATCTTGTGTGCAGCGGTAGCTTTGTGCCTTTTGAGCTGGCTCTTCAACGCAGTGTGGTGACTTTGCCAGCTGTCCAGTCTGTACTGTCAGTATTTGGTTTCCTTTCCCTGCTGCGTCATACTGCATTGTGCCAGCTGTTTCGGCTGTATACTCCCCACCCATTCAATGCAGGGCCACGGAGCTGTGCTATGTATTAGCACCCAGGCTTCATGTGGATGTCAGTTTCATTTGTCTGAGCCATGTGCCCAGGTGGGCCTGGCTTTCTTTCTTTAAAAAAAAATTGTTTTGCTTATTTTCTTCTTTCTTTCTTTCTTTCTTCTTTCTTTTTTTTGGCAGAACTGGGGATTGAACTCAAGCCCTTGCGCTTATTCCACTGAGCCATCTCCCCAGCCAACCTGGTTTTCCAGGTTGCCACCAAACTGCTTACTGGAGTGGCTGTGCCATTTTCACTCCTTCCAGCAACTAAGGGGAGAGCCAGCTGTGCAGGCCCTCAAACACTTGGTGAGCCATCTGCTATGGCCATTCTGGTAGGTGTGGCTGTGTTGGGACAGCACATGTGTCCCCCAGGCATTCTGCATTGAGGCTTAATACCCACTGTGAGGGAGTAAGAGGATAAAAGCTTAATCTGGCTCTGGTGTTTAGAAGTGGGGGCTCTTGGGGAGTGATTAGGATTAAAGTCACCAAGGTGGAGCTCTATGGTTGAGTCCTAGTGGCTGAAAAAAAGGGGGAGAAACCAGACAGCTGTGCACAGCTCCCTGCCTCCTATCATGTGGTGCCATGCATGCCCAGCACTCTGCCAGCAGAGAAGGCAGGTCACCAGAACCATGAACCCAGGGAACTTAGTCATGACACACAGTGGCCCAGTATGGATACCTAGTGGTCCCAGGAGCAGCCTCAATGCCCTCTGCTGTGCTACCTCAGGGCTTGGTGTTTCTGTCCACATGCCCACCCCACCAGCTCACAACACAGCCAGAGGATCCTGCTGGCACCCTTTGTGCCCCTTTGGATGGCTTCCCACCCCATCCCCACCCAGAGCCTTCCTTCCGAGGTGCCTCCAGCCGGCTTCCCCCACCCAGTTTCACTGCAGTGTTTGCAGTACCTGGTTGGGAACTCCTGCTTTAGTGCTGCTCACAGCAGTGTGACAGTGTGATTTGTGTGTTTTTTCTTGTAATGGGATTTGAACCCAGGGTCTGTCACAAGCTAGTCAGGTACTAGACCACTGAGCTAGACCCTTTTAAAAAGGTTTCTTTTCTTCCTTTCTTTGTATTTCTACACCTATTTGTGTTGGTGTTTGTCTCCTGGTTACAGGTTGAATTTTTTCTGCCCATGTGCTGAGTTCCATGTGGTATGCATTGACCTGACCACCACTCAGTCTCAGCCCACAGTCCCCCTGAAATATCATGCCTGCTGCAGTCCTTGGGCTCCTGGGACTTGCTTCTGGGCTTCTTAGGGGTAGACCTAGAGCAGCCCTGCTGTGGTGGCCCCCTTGCTTTCTGGCTAGACAGTGTCCTTTCCTGTCCCTGAGCCCTGTTCCCTCCAGGGTCTCCCTGCAGTGCATGCTCCCCGCAGTTATTTTCCACCAGCCTTGTGGCAGCTCACCCTGCACACTCTTGGCCACTCACAGGTGTGGCTACAGCCTTCTCTATAACAACACAGTGTGAATTGTCCCACCCTGCAAATTCCAGCAGCCTGACAGCACCCGCACCAGGTGTGGAGCCCTCTGATCCTCCCTGGACTGTGTGCCCTCCTCTAAGGCAGCTGTGTTCATAGTGTTGCCCTTGGCAGTGGTAGAGGTCAAAGCCATTATCCGTCATTCCTTTCTTTAAGAAATCTTTCCTTTCTATTTTCCTTTTTTTTTTTTTTTTTTTATTCATTATGGGGTCTATGGTGTCCACAGGGTCTCATTATGTAGATCGGACTCGTAGTGATTTTCCTGTATTCGGCCTCAAGCACTGGGATTATGGCTCATGCCACTATCGCTGTCTCAGCACACCTTGGGGGGTGCTGACACAGTATGCTGGGAATCAAACCCCAGCTGCTGTGCTCTGCCTAAGCAGGCACTTTAGTCCACTGAGCTATCTGGCTGGCCCTTTTATTTTAAATTCTTTAACCTCTGTTAAGTCACTGTTGTGATTTCCTAATTCTACTGTCTTGGGTTACAGTTTCTGTGTGTTTTGTGCATGTATTTTTCCAGGGTGTTTTCATCATCATAGGGTGTCACGTCCTCTTTGCTGTTGTCTTTTATGCTCACTGAACTCCACCAGGACACCTCCTGTACACTTGTAAGTAGCCAACTCCCTGCATCTTAGTGAGGAGCCACAGAAGGTACCTAGGAAGGAGCTCTTTCCTGGAGGGTTCTGCTCACAGGTGAGGACAGTGGTTAGATGTATAGCCAGGCATGCACACATGACTCTGTTTTGCAGACCCTCAGCACCAGATCCTCCTTTTTAATACTGTCTAGTAAGCAAACCAGGACTCTGAAGAAGTAGCTGATGCCTCGGCTAGGTCAAGGAGTGCTCCAGGTGAACTTTAGGCTTCCCGTGTGCAAGTGCCCAGACATAGCCAGGTAGCAATGGGGCTCCCCAGAGACCAGGGCTGGCCAGTCAGATTAGAAGGTCAAGTAGTATTTCATTTCAACTTACAATGTGACATAAACACCTGCTGTTCCACACTAATGTGAGTCAATCAGTTGATAAATGGAAGAGAATTCCAAGTAAATCATTTAAATGCTGCTCCACCAAGCTGATGAGGAACTCTTCACCCCTTGCAGATGACTGTGCATAGCATAACTTCCCTCCTGTGAAGGGAAGGAGTCACTGTACACTGGAAACCTGACACACCCAGCTTGAAGCTTGGGCACATCACCAGGATGAGTCTCCTTAATGGGAGGTGACATGGAGGCACTTTGCCTCTACCCTTCCTCTCATACCATAGCCCCAGTCTGACTCTGAGAAAAACAGTCAGATCCCAGCTCAGGAACCCCACAGTGCACCCTCAGAACCACCCAGATGTCCAGTCATAGAGAGTAAAAAACTGTTACAGGCAAAAGGAATCCCAGGACCGGGATTCAGTGGGATCCGGGATGGAGTCTACGATGGAAAAAGGACAGGAGGGAAAACCAAGCCTTTCCTCCATGTGTGCAGATTTAAGCCAGACTGGAGCCCTTGTGCATGTGCGCTTCTGGGACATTCATCTGCTCTCTTCCCCTGCTTCTGTCCACATGAAGCTTACTGCAGAGGACTTTGTGAATCTGAAGAAAGGACCAGCTCCCTAGATGGCAGGAAGTCTGGACAGTGTTCCAGATGGGCCTTGGTGGCTGCCGTAGGGAGCAGCTGCCAATCCCTTGGGCACACTGCAGCTGCCATGGGCTGAGACCCATGTAGGATGAGAGTGTCCTCCTCCAGGAGTCTGATCTGAGCTTGGTGATCAGCAGGGTGCAGAACAGCCACAAGGCAGGCCTGGCCACACAGCTCCTGAGGAAGTGTTTCTGTTGTTTCCATTGGGCACTGTCCCTGGCTGGCAGTGGTCCCAGCCGGCAGTCCTACGCAGGGCAAGCACAGTACCTTTCCAGTGTTCTGAGAGCAAGCCTTTGTGCAGACCCACCTGGAGAAATAGCCCATGTCTATCCTGGCTTGAGGGTACTTGCTGGGAAGGGTCCAGCTTGCCTCCTGGCTTCCTAGGCTGGGAAGGGGCCAGGGCTGCCATCTGTCCCCTCCAGGTACCACCCAGGACCTCCGAGAGGCCCTGCCCAGGTCCCTCCCCCGGCTCTGCTCAGCCCCGCCCCTCCCAGCTGAGTCTGGCCAGCTTGGGCAGCCCTGTTCTGTGAAGGGAGCCGCTGTTTTTCCCTGCAGGCACCCTCATTGGCCCAGATCGAGGGCGGAGGGCACTTCCGAGGGAGGGAGCCTGGGACGGAACCGAGCTGCCTGCCTGGCCTGGCCCCTACTTGCCAGCAGCTCAGCAGTCTATCCCATCATGCTCGGGGATCACTGCGGTCTCCCCACAGACAGAGCTCTACTCGGCCAGCCCTCCAAAACTGGATTTTGCTGCAAAATGGTGCTTCAGGCAGTCAGCAAAGTACTCAGGTAACATCCTGCCACAAGAGGGCAGTCAGGATAGGCTGTGACCCTTGTTACCTCCAGGGAAGGCAGCACTGGTCAGCAGTTGGTGGGTCAGCGGGCCACCTCTGGGCTAGATGTCTGATGTAGCCAGTGGCAGACCTCAAAGCTCAAGTGGGGCTGGGGAGATACCTCAGCAACTTAAGCACCTGCCTGGCAGTCACAAGGTCCTGAGTTCAATCCCCAATACAAAAAAAAAAAAAACCTCAAGTGGGTCAGTGCACTGCCCAGAAGCCTGAGCAGATCTAGAACTTTGTTTGCCTACTGAGGTTCTCCTTGACTGTCTGCACTTCCTGTTACCCTGGAAGAGAGTCTTGCCCTGAACCCCAGAAGGGAGGCAGCTCAGGGCCCCAACAGTGGCTAATGTGGTCTTTCTGGCCTCACTGTGTCACTAGCACAGGATCCTGCCTGGCCCTCTGAGGCCCTTCACCACCTGCAGGCAGGGGCTTTGGCTCTCTGAGGTGGGTAGAGTGGCCTCATCAAGAAAGGTATTGTGGGGTGCTGCCAGATACCCATGCTGGCTGACCACTGGGGGCTGAGGGACAGTTACCAGAAACACTATTTGTGATAATTTTCTGACCAGTTTTTATGATTTGCATGGTGCCCTCAGCCTGGTATATATACACACATGTTGGTGCGCCATTAGGTGTCGTATGTGTATGTGGTGTTAGGATGTAGGTGTGCTGGTGTGTATGGGTGTGTGTCTTGCACAGACCTTTGGTTTCTGGGCCTGGAGCTGAGCGGGAAGGTATCTTGGCAGGGTTGCTCAGCATGTGTGTTCTGGGAGTCAGCCCTTCCCCTCAGCACAGGAATTTGCCTGTAATCTCAGGGAGTCTCACAGCCCAAGTATCTGCCCTTGCTTTTCCAACTCTCCTTTCCTTGCAGCCCCCAGAACAGAGCTCTCAGTGAGGCTGTGGTGAACCCAGCCTGTGCCACACCCCCACCCCTTGGGACTTGGCTCAGGATGCTGGGGCAGCCATCTCAAGGCACCTCTGGCTCCGTCTTTTTCTCCTTGGGCTCACTGCCCACAGCACAATCACCCAGCAGGGTAGGCTTCAGATGGGGCTCGGGTAGAGACCAGAGAGCTAGCCTCCCTGGCCCTGATAGAAGGCATGGGAATTTAGGAGTGTGGGTGGACAGGCATCATCTCCCAACTCATCTGGGACAGTGCTGACATCAATGGCATAGTGTACCTGTGCACCTTTGGTAGGTAAAGATGGCACTGACCTGCAGGCACATTCTGCCTAGCAGAGACTGTTTCACTCAGGGGAGGTCTCCCTAGATAAGCACTGTAGCTGAGCCTTAAAGAAGAGTGGCTAAAGAGGAAGGGATCTGACTTGCCTGAGCCTTTGGCTCTGAGCTGTTGTCTCTTTCTCTGTCTGCGCACAGGGTAGGCTCACCTGAGCATTTTCCAGTGAAGTGCATCTCCTGGATGGTGGGGACTGTGTCGGGAACTCCAGAAGCTGGTTCTATGGGCCATAGTCAGAATGTGCACACTCACACATTCCTCTCCACAGTGCCTGGGCAACTGAGCCTATGTTGTGCAGGGGTGCCGAGGGGTGGGATGGGAGATGGGGTGGGGACACAGTCCAGGCCAGGACTGCCAGGTTAGAAACGCAGCTTAGACTGCATCGAGACTCCAGCCTCAGTTGCATTTGCTGGAACAGGAGCAAGAGACACCTCCCTGGCGTGTCTGCTCTGCTCTCCTTGCTGAGTAGCACTTGGAAGACTGGGGGGGAGGGGGTCGAGGGGCTCAGCCAGGAAGCAGGGCCTTGCTGCGCCCATGCCATGTCCTCGCAGGAGGCACTGCCAGGCCAATGGTGGGAAACAGGTTCTGGGATCCTCAGTTTGGGCTCAGGCTAAGCAGTGCCCACAGTCACCCTGGCTGAGAAACATGCAGGACCTTGGTGAAAGGGCTCCACCACACCCACCTTTTTGCAACTCATCAAGACTAGGTTTCAGGACTTGTGTTTCTGAGCTCTTTGGTTCACCCCTCCCCACACATTACCCTGGCCACTCCTTTCGTAGGGTGCTATGTTCTTAATGGGGCATCCTGGAACCACTCTGTGCCAACCCTAGGCTGCAGTCTCCTCAGGGTCCTGCTTCTACCTCAGCACCCACACCACCCTGCTGGGGATAACTGCCCCTGCTCTGTGCCTTGGATCCCTAAGGTCCCTTACCTGACATAACAGGTGCCGCAAGGATTTGTTCTGTTTTTAAAATGTACAAGCTTCTGTTCCTTGGGATGTCAGGCAGGGCACCTCTGCAGTGGCAAAGATCAACTTGTACCTGATGCCAGGGAGGCCAAGAGGTGCACTCTCACAGGGTATGGCTGGCTGAGTGGGGGTATGACTTTGGACAGGACTGAGTGAAGTTTGCCACATAGAGTCCCTGCTGGAGGAGACATCCGTCTCTTGTGGCAGTAAAGGTGTTGGGAGCAGATGAGGCTTGCTGCAGCCAAGCAGGGGTGTAGTGCCGGCAAAACAAAGGTGATTGTGGGAGGGCCTGTTCATCTTACACAGGCGGCAGCTGCTCTCCAGAGCCCAGGCTCAGCCCACCTATGGGACAGAGGCTTGTGTTGGGGGCTCCTTCCACCCCAGAGGTTAAAGCAGCCCTGTGGGTGAACTGAGGCCTGGCAGCTCTGTTGAGGTCCCATTAGTGTGGTCCCTGTCCTCACTGTGTTACGGGTATTGCAGTGAGCCATGTGCAGAACAGAGAGAGGAGCTCATGGATCACTGCTCAGTGGGGTATCCAGGCCACCAAGGCCGCAGCCTGGGCAGGTCTCTGGGCCTAAGGTAAAGGAATCTGTTTCATAACTGGACCAAGAGTGGCCATAAGGACAGAGGCCCTAGGCAGGTGGATGTTGGGCTAGCTTAACGGAGCTGGTGGCCTAGCTAAGCCATTCCTGGGAAGGAAGAAAGCAGGATTTGAAATGTTTTACTGTTTTGTCTCCCCCAGAGGCTGGACTTGTGTGTCCCCTCAGTCCTGCCCTATGGGGCTCAGCAAGAAAAGGCCCTAAGACTAGGGTCCATAGAATTGTCTGGCACAAAGATCATCTCTCAGTGCAGGGAGCTCCAGGGACCCCAGGCTGGTCCTGGGTGATGCAGTTAGAGTGAATCTGAAGGAAGAACTCAGGGGTTCTGGTGCTCCTGCCTGTTGGTTCCAAAGTAGCTGTGCCCACAGGAGAAGGCAGGGTGCTAGTGCCTGGCCCAAGACCCTGTGACGTCACAGAAGGAGCCAGGTCCTGAGGCACTGCCTGACTGGTGGCTGTGACAAACAAAGGCAGAGGTTGGCCTTAGTCTGGTAGGCTGCCCCACTCACTAGTGTATGAAGGGCTGTTCATGGGGGAGCCTCCCCAGGCAGGTCCCGGGAGCAAGGCCCACGGGATAGGAGAGTGCTGGTTCCTAGAGGTGGCTCTGCCTATTGCCCACAGAGCATGAGGTGGGTCAGCGGCTGGCCTGGCAGCCTGGTGACCCCTGCAGTCTGCCTTGCCATGCATTGTGGCCACCCCAGAAGGAGACTTGGCTCACCCCATGGGGCCGTCCAGGTGGACCTAGACCATGGTGGGGGCTTAGCCTGTTGCTGATGAGGGCCAGGCCCAAGGCCCCAGAGTGAACCCACCCTGCGATGTGAGACTTGGGCAGGTCCCACAGTTTTGGTGAAGCTAGTCCCATGTACCCAGTGTTGAATTGCAGGCTGGTGTGGGCTCTCTGACAGAGTGGTGCCCGAACTCTGTACACACTGTGCCCTGATACTGGAGATCAGGGAAGTGGTAGGAGCAGGAAAGACAGGTCCTAAGGAATCCATAGAGCTCCTCCTGGAGGCTGCTGTGCCAGGCCGCTGCCATGGGGCCCAAGAGCCTTGGCCTCCGTGTACCCATGCCCGCACTTCAGCCCCAGAGGACCCCAGGTGCCGTCCCCAGAGCTTTCTGGGTCCAGCACTCCAGGCCCGGGCTGGGCTCTGGCTGTGCCTGGCCCTGCAGCAGAGGCCAAGCATATGTCGCCTTTTAAGGCCAAGATCTGCTGTGAGAAGCTGAAAGAGAAACATTTCCCTGGCATTGAGGGAGCATTTTTCTTTCCTCTTTTTTAAAATAAACTATCAGCAACCTTTCAAAACAGAAAGGAAGAAATTAAGACGTGGTCAGAGTTACATAGCCCTTTCACCCCTACTCCACTGTCTGTGTAGCTGGTGAAGGACACAGCCAAAGTAGGCCACCTCCTGGTGCTGTGCAGTTTGGCTGTCCTCAGTCCTCAGTCCTGTGTTCACAGGCCAGTGGGAATGCAGGTGCCCAGCCTGGACCTGCCTTGTGCACTCCCTCTCACCACCTGGCCACCTCGAAAGAAGCCAGGGCAAGATTTGTGCTGCCTCCATTCTAGGGGCACCCAGTGCTTGAGGGGAGAGGATGTGCTAGAGACTGTCCTAGCCACAGCTGGGAAAAGGCCGTGACCATCGCACCTCCAGCAGCTTTCTTCCCATGTATAGCATCCGTGTACACATGCCTGCACTTCAGCCCCAGAAGACCCCAGGTGCCTTCCCCAGAGCTTTCTGTGTGCCAGGTGGGCACTCCTAGAAATGCCCCTCTTCTGGGAACCAGGGCACCTCCCCACCAGCTCTGCATCTTCTCTCCCAACCTACTTTCCTGGGCATGGAGCCCTGGTCTCCTTGAGTTGTTAGCCACACTAGGGCACTCTGTAGGCCTAGTGTGGGCCTACCACACACATCCCTGCCTGGGTGGTACTTCCTCCTGGAGAGTGTCCATCCTACGTGGTTGTGCTGGTCAGGAAGGCTACAGCCAATACTAGCTTCCACCTGGTTTTGTAAAAGTCATGGTGTTTACCATGAAGGAATTCAGGAGTTTGGCTGGCAGCAAGAGACTAAGCCTTGCTGTACAGAAGGCTCACCACAGGCTGTTGTCAGGGCCTTACTGCTGCCCTGGGGGCCTCAGAGGTCAGAGGCTCCTCTGCCCCCTTGTTCTTCATGCTCCCTTTGGGGTCCTTTGTGCCACATCCAGTAGAACCTTCCAGTCACCTGCCTCTGCTCCTGGATATGCTTATGGCCACAGAACGGGCAGAGCATTGTGAGAAGGATCTGGGCAGCTGATGGGCTCTGCTGCGTTTCCCCCACAGGAGCAGCCCTTCTCATGGCCACTTAGAAGCTTGCTTAGCAGACACCAGCAGTATACAGGGGTTTGGGGGTGGGGACAGCTGGCCTGGAGGAAGTAGCCGTGGGCAGGGCCATAGCACCTTAGCACCTGGCAGCTAGTCTGATCAAGTGAAAACCAGACAGACATTTATTTGTTTATTTTGTTTTCTTATTTGTTTATACTGGAGATTGAACTTGGCTTTCACAAGGAGCAGCATCCGAGCCCATTTTTTATTTTAATTTTTTTAAATTTTGAGAAGTTCTTTCTAAATTGCTCAGGCTGGGTTCAAATTGACAGCCCTCCCCTCTCAGCATCCCAAAGTGGTAGGATTACAGGTGTGTGCCACCAGTGCTGGCAGTGGACACAAAACATTTTAAAGATACATATTTATTCATTAAGAATAGCCATACCAAGCCATCATTTATTTATACGACTGCAGTCTTTTGGCAAAGAGGAGCTTGGAGGGCCTCCCCCTGGTGAAAATTGGGTTCTCTGCCCCATGGTGTACCTAGTGGAGTGCCCAGGGTATTGCACAAAGCCTTAGTCCCCGGGTACCTATAGGTATCTTTTCTGGGACTTGTGCAGGATGTGGGTTGGAGCATCCTGCCCCACTGGCTGCTACTCGGGTTAGCTGCAAGGCCTGATTCCACAGAGCTAGCACCTTCATGGTCTCCATGGTAGCATGTAGCACAACTCAGTGATGGAGGAGCTGACTGGTACTGCACTTTCCAGGCCAGTATGGACTCCCAGGGCAACCAGGTAGTGGTTGGGTGCTCCTGTCATATGGGCACCCTTTAGGGCCAGCCTTCCTGAGGAGATGCGCCTCCAGTGTGCATGAGGTGGTAGGGCGAGTGCCTGGTGAGCCTGGTCATTGGAGGAGGGGACCTGTGGGCCCATAGGGGCTCTGCTCAGGGCTCAAGAAAACAGCCTTCTGAAGGAGGCTCCCACTGTACACTTTGGGGTCCTCTACTTGGCCAAGTGATACCTATGCTGTTGCCAGCCTGGCAGCCCTGTGTTGAGGTCCACTGTATCCACCAGAGTGGCTGCAAGGTGAAGTCACATAGGTGCCAGTGCAGCTACTGTCCAACTGCCTGGGCGCAGGTTCCAGCCAGCCAGAGGCCTAATGCCCCCATAGGCTGCGCCACAGTATCCTGCCTAGAGCAGCCAGGCCCTGGCAGAGGAGGGATTCCCTCCAGGGTTTTGGGCAGCACCCTGCACCACCATGCGCAACCCACAGCAGGGCACTCTTTGTGGCCCCGTGGGGCCTGAGTCACCAGCATGTGGTGGCCATGCTGTCCCTTCTTCTTTGGCAGGAAGTCTAAAGCAAAGCCTAATGGCAAGAAGCCTGCTGGGGAGGAAAAGAAGATGTACCTGGAGCCAGAGCACACTAAATCCAGAATCACCGACTTTGAGTTCAAGGAGCTGGTCGTGTTGCCCCGGGAGATCGACCTGAACGAGTGGCTGGCCAGTAACAGTGCGTGCAGGCTGGTGGGGAGGACCCTAAGGCTGTGGGTGGTTGTGGGCAGCCCAGCCTCCAGTACCGCCCCATCCCAAGGACCCCAGCTTCTGCCCAGCAGCCCCTTGTGGCGGGGACAGGCTTGAGTGCCAGCTAGAAGCAGGGTGTTTCAAACCTGGCCCTTTCCTTATCTTACAGCAACAACATTTTTCCACCACATCAACCTGCAGTACAGCACAATCTCAGAATTTTGCACAGGAGAGACATGTCAGACGATGGCCGTGTGCAACACGTGAGTAGCGACCACCTAAGAGGAGCAGGGTGGTCCATAGTCAGCCCTGCAGCCAGGCTTCCTGAAGCCCAGACTGTAGGCTCGCCTAGTGCCTGAAGAGCCTCTGGCTGGGCATTTTTCTGTGTATCTGCCTGTCCATTGGGTTGGCAATCTGGTCTTCAGGGCCCCTGCTAAGGCACAGGGCTATCAGGAGCTGGCAGGAGGCTGATAGGCAGGGATGTTTCTGAAAAGGGTGCCTAGGTGTGGTTCCCTGAGACTGCAGAGCACCACAGAGCTTTTCAGGCTGAGAAGAATGCCCTGGATAGTGTAAACAAGTGCACGTTGTAAGGACTGAGGTGCCTTCCTGGTGGCTGCCTGACAGACCTGGTGCCAGCAGCTCTGGCACAGATACTCATTTCTGAAGTGGGTTCCACACCTATGTTGTAGGTAGGAGAATACAGATAGCATGGCTTGCTACACAGGCTGCATTGGTTGTGGCACAGGTAGAAGGTCTTATCTGCCAGGGCTTACCCTGGAGGGCTTCAGCCAAGCATGTCTACTTGCATCTGGACCCACGTCCCAAAAGCCATCTTGTTTACAGATGTGACCTTCCAGGCTCCTGGTACAGGGAGCAGAAGTCCCCAGACAAAGCGCTGCTCTGTTCAGGAGAGCCCTCAGGAAGGAGGCACTTACTGACCCCAGTGGGTCATAGCTGTGCCTGCTTAGTAATGTGGGACAGGTGCAGCTGGCTGTCCTCACCCTGTCCACCCAAGTGTCACAGTCTGGCATTGTCCCAGAAGGGTGGGACTGTGTTCTGTGGCCATGCTGGGAGCAAGCTTGGTGGAGTGAGAGATGGGCCTTGGTGACAGGTGGGGCCACAACTGAGAGTTTTTGTGCAGCTGGCCTGAAGCAGTGTGGGTGGTGCCTGCCCAAGCAGCTGCCACATGGCCCCCGGATTGGGTTTTTTTGGATGAAGCCTCCTAGTAGGGCATAAAGCGTGATGTGGGGCAAGCCTGTGGCCACAGGTGGACAGATATCTCCATATGTGCTAGAGAGCCAGGCTGTCCCTGCACTCCCCCTGTAGCCTACTTTATAGACACTATTGTTGGATCTGGATTCAAGTTACTCTAATCCTTCCAAGGAATCATTTGAGACCAAAGAATAGAAACTCAAACTAGTTTGAGAGGACACAGGAGCTTGGTCACAGCCCCACAGAGCCCCTTGCCATTGCCCGGGTCAGCAGTCTGCCTGGGCAGAAAGGGCACTCAACAGCAGGCCTCACTTCCATCCTAGCTCTGTCCAGAGACAACCCAGAGAGGCCAGTGCTAGAATCCAAGGGAGCGAGAGAGGCCAGAGCTGGGGCAGAGTTCACACTGAGCACTGCCCCCAGGGCCAACGAGCCCTGTACATAAGCCCAGCAAAGCACTGTGCCCAGGGTAGGCAGAGGAAAGGCCTCCAGCATGGTAAGTGGGACCGGGGACCCGTAGAGCTCCACCACACTGCAAATGCTAGCAAAGCAAAGGTTGCCCAAATCCCACATCTATGAGTAGCCTTGTTCTTCTGGGGTGATGAAGAAGTGACAAAGGGAAGCTAAACATGTCATGTCCTGAGACCTCCATCAGAGAGTTGTCCAGGAACACAGATTCCTCCCCGCTCAGCTCACAGGAGCGTGTCCTCATCAGGTCGGCAGGAGAACAGCCAGAGCTGACCTAGAGGCTTGTGCGTGAGGGGACCTGGGCCTTGTGCCAGGCAGAGTCCAGAGCTGGCCTAGAAGCTCATGCATGAGGGGACCTGGGCCCAGCACAAGGCAGAGTCCAGAGCTGGCCTAAAGGCTTGTGCTTGAGGGGACCTGGGCCTTGCTTAGGGCAGAGTCCACAGCTGGCCTAGAGGCTCGTGCGTGAGGGGACCTGGGCCTTGTGCAGGGCAGAGTCCAGATCTGGCCTAGAGGCTCATGCAGGAGGGGACCTGGGCCTTGTGCAGGGCATAGTCCAAAGATGGCCTAGAGGCTCATGCGCAAGGGGACCTTGGCCTTGTGCAGGTAGACTCCAGAGCTGGCCTAGAGGCTCGTGTGTGATGGGACCTGGGCCTTGCGCAGGGCAGAGTCCAGAGCTGGCCTAGAAGCTTGTGTGTGAAGGGACCTGGGCCTTGTGCCGGGCAGAGTCCAGAGCTGGCCTAGAGGCTCATGGGTGAGGGGACCT